CCCGCGCGGGTGGCGACGGGGCCCCTTCCGCTGGCCGGCGCGGAGCTGCTCTGCTTTGCCCCCTCCGCTGACAGGGCCGGCGGGAGCCCGGAGGGAGGCGAGGCTTGCTCTGCTGCCGGAGGGGCCCCCGCGCTTGCCAGTCGTCGTCCGCGTTGTTTGAGTTTTGGGGAAGTTCCCGTGCACGGTTTTGCGTGCTGAGCTTGGGGTGGGAGAGGCGACGAGGGAAGGCTGCTTTGCCATGCTTAGAGCACCGTTACACGTGTTTAACGTAGAACAAACGGAAAGGACGCAGAGCTGCTCGCTGGTGAAGGTTTACAGGCCAAGCCTTGAAAGTAAACTTAGTTGATGCTCTGAGCCTTCGCGTACCTCTCTAGCGAGTCAGTGAGTGACTTACTGATTTCACCTGCAGCAACCAGCGCAGATCAGTGCAGAAGAGCCCGTGTGTAACCCCACCCTCACCTCACCCCAAACAACTGCAGCAGCTCTCAATTAATTTTAGGAGCCATTTCTAGCTCGTCCTCTTTGCTTTACGATCCTTGTATGCTTTTGCTCTCTATTGTTAGGAGGTAGCAGGATGTGTTTCTGTCCCCAGGGCTCGCACAGCGTTGGGGATGTTGTCCCCAGCGTGTAGTAGCAGCACCCATCCGAGGGTGAGACCCGGCTCCTCTGCAGCTCCAGCCTCCTGGAGATCCCGCTCCGCTGCGCTCTCGGGTCTGCTGCCGTTTCATATCTCATCTGCAAACATACCTTTTCTTTGCTGCATTTTGCTTCTAGTTTTTCTTTCAGTCTTATTGCGTTTGAATGATCTCATGATACTGCAAGTAAGTTAGAAATTGTTTCCGAGTTCAAAATGGCATTGCACCTAAATAAGTTATATGGTCTATATGTACCTTGTGCACGAGTCTTAATGCGACTCGTACTGCGGCCTCTTCGTGCACACCCGTGTCTGTGAATATCTGCAGGGCACAGATGTGTATGTTCTTTAATTTGGGAGTAAAAAGTTAATCTTGGAAACTAAGGGCAGCGGTGCAGCTGTAGGCTTGAGAAGACAGTTTGCTGTAGACGGATAATTTTTTCTTGAGCATCGTCAGCTTTATGCCCCAGCCACAGTGAGGAGGCGTTTTGCACAGGCTGTCGGTGGTAGAGGAGAGTGACCTGGTTCCAGATACCCCCAGTGTCAACCGATACGGAAATCGCTCGGTGTGATGTTACTGCGGCATCACCGCACCCGCGGTGCCGGGAGCGCGGAGGGGTTGGGGCAGCTCGGATCAATCCCACGGGAACGGCTGGCGGGAGCTGCGGGCCCCCACCCAGCCCTGCTCGCGCCGTGCCACCGCCTGGCTTGGCCTCTCTTGGCCGAGCAACAGATCAGCCAACAGCTGAAGCCCCTCGTAGGGAACTGCCGGGTAATTGCCATAACGAGGACGGTGGCCTGCAGAAACAGGCAGCACGGTTTCTGCCTCATCTCTTCACGCAGCACTGACCACCTGCGGTAGAAGTCCACACGCCGCTCCTGCTCGCCAGGCTTCGGGTCCCGAACGCAGGAGAGGACAAACCTGAAAGTGCCGACGAGCTCCAGCCTTTCGGCGAGCTCCTTCGTATTGCGTGGAAAAGAGGATAAGCCCCGGCGGGCGGCGCAGCCCGGGGAGATGCTGAGCACCGCAGTGCCGCTGCCTGTCCTCTGTGCTGGGGAGTACGGTCTGTCAAGATACTGGAAAAACCCCTACGTTTATTCCAGTAAACAAGCCGGTGGCTGGGGTTTGTAGTATGAGAGCTAATGCATTTTTTTTCCTCAATGATAGCATTGAATAGTTATTTTTTACGCTTCGGTGGACCAGTTCTGGAGTTTCCTCAGAATTCAGTTGGTACAGACGTGGTCAGCTCTCTGGATGGATCCTTGATTGCATCTACGTGGCACTGCCCTGTGGTTGTGTAGGGTCAAGGAAGAACTGATGGAGAAAACCCTACCTACCCACCCTCCCTTTCTGTGGTTTCATTCATGAAAATTTGGGGACTATTAGGAAGATATTACAATAAAAGTGCAAATAATGAAAATTCCAATCCGCGGAATAGGGTCTTTCTTTCTACCATATGCATCCACTTTCTGGAAGTATAATGGAAAAGTGGGTGAAGCAGATGACCGGTGCCCAGACAGGCAGGAGAAAAATATTTCTAAAATAAGAATCGCTCGAATTCCTGAAAGGTACAGAAGGAATAATGCTTAATGCCGAGGCTGGACCATCTGTTGTCTGTTCTCCAGGCTGCAGAACTATCAGGATCCACCAAATTATTAACAAGTATGAACCTTCAGGCTTAAAAGAAAATTAAAAGCTACGAGCCTATTGCAAGATTTCTAGGATGTGCTTTCGCACGTATTGAGAAAGATGAGCTTATCTAGAGCGAAGATACTGAAGACAACTTGGAGAATGCCAAGGAACTACCGGTGGTGAGATGGCGATCGCTGAGAATCCCCTGGAGCCGTGGGTTATCGGAGGGGCTGGAGGAGCGGCAGGAGCTGCCTGAGCTCCTTTTTCCTCAACCCAGGAGGAGCGTGCAGATTTTGTTGATTTCTGAAAGGTAAATTGCTACCTCCAGATGTGATGCATTGCTCTCTGTAGATGAGTTCCTGGAACAATTAAGGAAAACTAAATACCTAACGATATTGAACTTGCTACCTATTAATCTTCTGGTAGGAAAAAAACCAACAACCTCTTTCCACACAAATAGCAGCAACGATCTGAGGTTTCATCCCGGCGCTGTGTTCACACCAATGAGAGAAGAGGTCAGATACACAGCAACCCATTTACTTCAAGATGATTTTTATTTCCGAGCCTAGGGCCCAATTGGGCTCTCACTGAAAACCATAGCAAATACAACACTGATTACAGTGGGAATGGAAGAAAGCTCATCCTGGGAACTATTTAATTCCATTAGAGAGAAGTCATCTAAGAAACATGTGCCGAAGTTGTTGTCAAGACACTTTTGAAACACTGGCTTCATTGAAGTTAATGACAAAAATCTCATTTCATTCAGTGAAGTCAGGATTTTGCGTGTTGTCTTCATTCTGTGCTGCTTACCGTTTCCCCAAAGATCAATTTTTTTTTTTTTTTTTATATTGTGCCGGTTTGGGGGGGCGGGGGATTAGCAAGGCAGTAGTAGTAAAAAAAAAGCATACCTACTTGATTTCTCTTAACTTTATTGTGGTTTCCCTGTATCGGTCTGTATTATTGGTTGGGTACTCGGGTTGTAAGGGTCTGCACGTGGTAATGACGAGCAACGCACCCGCTTCTGTCTTCAAAGAGCTTCATGTACATCAGCACCGCAAAGAGGCAGAGGCAGAAGGAGCGAGAAGAAATGACGTGGTAGGTAGAGCCGAGCGTCAGCCGGCGGCTGCGGAGCCGGGGCTGGTGCGAGGGTGTGCGTGAGCGTGCGGTGGGAGCGGGCAGCGCTCCGGGGGAATCGTGAGCTGGGGGCTCGGCTCGTGTAAATCACCCCGCTTCGGTTTCCCGACGGCAGCTGAAAACGAGGGGCTGTCTTAATTCGACAGTGTTTATAAAACACCGATACTCCTTAGCGCAAGAGGATCTGGATACACCAAGTACTATTATTAGACTAATGGTAACGTGTGCCGCTTACAGTAGCGTGGCTCCGCTCATCGGTTAAT